AGCTGCTTTCCCCTTCTGAAAGGTGCTGTCTACATGAGGTGAACAGTGGAGAGGATGGACTAATGTACACCCCCTTTTTATGTGCTTAATCAGCAGTGCCTTCAAATGCATAGATAAGATATTGGGCAGGAGGCTCTTTAGAAATTGTTGGACTGCATATTCTCTTTCACTATGTGACCCCCATTGCCATTACCAAAATCTGGCAGAGTGGCAGCAAAATAATGAGCTATTTGTCAGTGAAAAACGGTACGTGGAGAACACATGGCTTTCAAGCAAAATCACACTTGTGGAATTTTGTCAGTGTGGTCGCAACAGCAACTTCACCAGCAGGAGGAGAGCAGCCCCCGATGAGCTCTGAAAAGTGGAACTTGGCCCCTGGATTCACTAAAATTGGCTTCTCCTGCTAGTTCATTGTGTATTCTCTTCTAGCATTTCTTCTTCCAGTGCCTCCACTGGCAGCATCATTCACTTTAGTGATCCCAAGACTTAGATTAGAGTCTTACCAATTTCATTTGAATATCTTATGATTTACCAAGAATTGTGGAGCCCATGAAAATCTCTGCTGCTTGTGTTAAGTGCTGCTGCAGGACAGCAGTGAATAGATAAAATACATCATGGCATCACATACGGTACCCAAAGGGCCTAAAGGCAACAGTCCATAGGGGACCAGTTTCTTGTGAAGATTGAGTAAAATTGGAGAAGTCACTGAAGCTTCTAGCAGGTGGAAAGAGCTCAGCTGACTTCCTCCTTTCCTGCAGGGTCTGGAAGAAAACATGGGAGTAAATATAAGAATTACTGAGAGAAGGTATGTGACTCTGCTTGAGCATTTTTGAAGGTGTTGTTTATAAACAATAAAGTCCACATCCACCATTGTGGAAGAGGCTTCTAGGGAGCTAAGTTCCCTGCTACCTCCTTTTGTCTTTCTCATGGAGATCTCAGAGTGACAGAGGGTTGGTGGACACCCCCTCCCCCCCCCACACACACACACACAATGGAGGGATGTTCTGGCACAGGGAAATGGGGAATACTCAAAATGGAACACAAGTATCTTCTGCAAGTGGAGCTCACATTCCCATAAGATTCCTCAACCAATTGGAGGGATAGAGTCTTCTCCCTCAGTATACCCACACCAAAGCCCACACATTCAAGAAGGTCTTCCAACTCTGTGGGTCATTTTCAGGAAGCTGCTGGTAGAAATGGGGAGAGTTAGCTTCTTGGAATTCTTTTCTACACAATGTTGAATGTTTCCCTAAATATTATTATTAAAGTATCATGTCAGGGTGTCATACATGTTGGTAGACCTGTATGATTTATTTGGAGTATATGGGATGCACTTTCTTAATTTCTTTGTTGAAGTCCTTCTTAAAATAATAATATAATTGTGAACTTTTAATTTCTGTTATATAAAAGTAGTGATAAAAGTTACCAAACATTTTCATTGGACTGAATTCTGGTCTAGCTGAGCTTAGAGTAGATCCACTGGAATCATTGGGGGAAGTTAGTCATTATTCAAGTCCTATCCATTTCAGTGGGTCTATTCTAAGCATGACCAAGTCTGGATCCAACTTAATGACTAATATTTAGGAAACTAATATTATAAACATAAAGTCCTGAGCAGGCTTACTCCAAAGTACCTTCTATTTTGAGTTCCTTACTTACTTCTAAGTAATTGTGCATACAATTGCAGCCTAATATAGTATAAATGCTTTTTTCAGGAGTAAAGTTAGCAGAATGGTAAATTAGGCTTCTGAGGTTCTAATTATTTGGAGAATGTAGCAAACACTTCTAATTTTAGCAACACCAACTTAACAGATCTGTCAAGAGGGAGCGGGAAATCTTTCCAACTGTGACACACAACAAAGTTTGAAATACTACCAGGGCTGTTTCCTGAAACTTGTTTTCACAATTCTTCTGCACTTTGCTTACTGTGATCAATAAGTGAAAATCTGCTAATTAAGCTTTTATTGGGCAAGAAATTTTGTAACACTTTTTAATGAAATAGTATAAATTCTAATATCTCTGACTTGACAGAAGTACTAGGTTAGTGCAATTAATGGAATTGCTTTGAAGGAACAGCTACATAGATCAACTGATTTAGATAAACATGTTGAAAGTATCTGTAATCTACTGGAATATTTAGACTTCAGCCCTAAAAAAAAACCATGCTGCCTGAGCCCCAAGCTTTCTCTGCACTGGTTATTTCTACAAGCACACTTTTTGGCTTTTCCAAAATGACCTTCTAGTAATATAAACTCAAGAGCAGCTGAAGGTCCTTGTCTTCTGGAACTTCCAATGGCTGTTGTGTATTTTAAGCCATGGGGAATCAAATCACAACAGTGCCTCTGCCTGGGCCCACACTGGTGCCCTCCAGATGTTTTGTGCTCCAATTCCCAGCTTTCCTGACCACTTCACATGCTGACTGGGGAATAGCCTGAGTTGCACTCTGAAGCATTTGGGGGGCTGTAGCTTAGGGAATGCTGAGCTAGACTGTACTGACTATTCAAATTTCACTACAGGCAGTCGTTACGAATGAGTTCTTTTCCTGAGAAAAATGGAAATTTGTCTTTAAGTTGATTTGTATGTAAGTTGGATCATGTATACTCAGCAATCCACAATTGCAGGGATTGAGGCACAGGACCCCTGTGAAAGTGGAAAAGTGCAAATATCTCTAGACCCCGCCCCCCTCCTCACCAGTGCCTCCTTTTTGCAGTAAGGAAATGCCAGAGAGATTTAGAAACATAGAAACAGTGAGTCAGAAGGGGCCTCCCGGACCATCTAGTCTGACCGCCGGCTCCGCTCACGACATGCCTACCATGTGCATGTCCAGCCTATCTTTGAACACCCTCACCGATGGGGCCTCAACGACCTCCTGTGGAAGCCCATTCCACACCCTCGGGGTCCTGACTGTCAGGAAGTGCTTCCTGGCATCCAAATGGAACCTTGGCTTCCTGAGCTTTGCTCTGTTGGAACACGTCCTGCCCTCCTCTGCAGGGGAGAACAGGTCTCTACCCATCTCCATGTGACATCCCCTCACATACCTGTATGTCACCAACATATCCCCTCTAAATCTCCTCTTCTCCAGGCTGAAGAGACCCAGTTCCCTCAGTCTCGCCTCATACCCCATCCCCTGCAAACCGACCACCAATCCTGTGGCCCTACACTGAATGGGCAAGGCAGGAAGGCATGCTTTGGAGGCCTCCCTTTCTACCCTTTTGGTTCCTCCCTGTCTATGGTGGTGATGATTTTCTGTAGTATTTTTTTTTTAAAAAAGGCTTTATGACAGTTTGTTCATAAGTACAGGTTGTTTGTACTTATGGGGACTTCCTGTAGTGGGTTACACAGTGATCCAGTTTGTGTGTCAAGTTGACAAACTGTGTGTAAATTAAACCAAGATTTGCCTAGGGTCATGTGCCATTGCCATGCTGAATATGCAACTTCCAATTGGTCTAATCAGAGATTCCTCTGTGGCATGTGAACCTGTACACTATGGGTTAATCATGGGTTAAACAACCCAAAAATAACCTAACGTTAAATGTATGATCCAGCAACTCTTGAGTTAATTAAAGCAAATTTTTCTATGATTAAATGGGGCCATTATGAAAAGATGTGGCCTCGTGGTGATAATGGACCTCAGAAGACAAGCTGTGATGAACCCATGGGCTGAGAAAATGGGTAAAACATTTTACTTAACTATGTAGATTATTAAGAAAAACTAGAATCTCAGAGCTACAACCAACACATTTCTGCAGCCTTAAGGATATTACTGACATTTTTCATTCTGTACACAATGGACAATTAATGCAATATCAATAGATATTTAATTATCAATAATCTGCATGCTGAAACCAAATTCTCTATAAATGCAAACCATCATTAATTAATAATATAGCCAGCAACCCATTGCTCAAAATGTACAAGTGCAGGAAATAGCAAGCAGATTTCGCACAGTCCACAGCAAATAATCTCTGTGCTTCCCCAACCTTCATTCTGTGGTGCAGTTCTCTAAAGGCTTCAACAGAGTTGGGAGGAAAGTGGTGTTCTGTAGCTTGTAAGTGCCTGCTACTTCTTTGCTCTATGCAATGTAGTTTTTAAGGATCTCTTCCACTTACTATGTGGCAGCTGTTGCCTTGAACCATAGCAGTAAATTGTATGATCCTGGAAGTAGGGATTTTAAAAATAACAGTAACTGATCCAACTTGGGTAATTGAACAACTTAATTTTTCTGATGGTGAAGGTAAAAGGGAGAAAGCCTCCTTCTGTGTGTGTGTGTCCGTCCTGTTGCTGTGTCTGTGAATATTATCTGAAAAGACAGTGCAGTGGCAGATTTCTTGTTTTCCTGATGACCTCTGTAATTTGCAAATCTCTTTGGTTTAAGGAACAGCTATGGGCAGAATCTGTTTTTTTCTTTCTGGAGAGCATGTAGAAATACTATAAGCAATGCTGTATCTCTGTTCATATCTTTAGTTAGGATGTATTAGATAGAAAGGCAAATGCTGTCTATGGACAAACAAGGCAGCATGTTTGTCTAAGGAAACTGGAGCTTAAAATGTACTTACCCCTCACCTCCCTTTCCTTTAAGAGACAATGAGCTCTGCAACGATTGGGTTGGGCAGCTTCAGAAATGAACTGCTGTGTTTCAATTTACAGGTTCTCTTTTTATCTAGTGATATACCATCTCATTTCATGGGTAACAGCAAGTCACAGTCAGGCTCAAAGGGACTGTTTCCCTCAAGAAGTTGTATCCAATGTTAGTCCAACTTAAATCCCATTCATTTCAATAGGTCTGTTTGAAGTAGGATTAATATCAGATACAACCCTATTTGTTTAACATGTGAAATGAAAAGATTTGCACAAAAGAGGTGAAATTTATAGTTTTACAAGTAGGACTGATACTCTTCAAGTGAAAACTGAATAAAGGAGATAGCAGTCAGGATAAGTGATCCAATTTGTTTTATCCATGCTAAGATCTATGTCCTGATTTCTTTTCCTCTTTTTCACAGGAAGAAGGCATTGTGAAGGAGATAGACATCAGCCATCATGTAAAGGAAGGTTTTGAAAAAGCAGACCCTTCACAGTTTGAGCTGCTCAAAGTATTAGGGCAAGGCTCCTACGGAAAGGTAAGAATTTTACAGTGTGCATCTGTTGCAATGTAACTGCTCTGAATTCAAGAAGTAGCTTGATCATTAGCTTCAAAACCTCTTCAGAGCTGCTGTTATAAAGGTGAATGGACAGGAAAGCATGAATTACCGGTGCTTCCTTTCAGCACATTTCCAAGTCTCTTTAGAAGCAAAGAGATCCCTGTTCTGATCCTGCTGTGGAAGAAGGTGCCTTATCCCCTTTTTAACAGATGCAGGTAGCATTTCACTCAGGAAGTACAATGTGGCCTCCAAGTTTCTATCATTAGGCAACTTGAGCTGAAACAAACACTATGGCTGATGCATGGCTGCCACCAGAGATGTAACTCCATGTCATCTCCACTTGCACTCTCTTTATAATGCCTAGTAAGACAAAACACGCTCTGATATCATTTTACTGTAAATTTCTCCGGAGTCTGAGTGGGAGGGATGTACGAATCAGCAAAGCTTGAGCTCACCGAAGTTCTCTAAATTCCATCTTGAAGTTTGTTCAATCCTGCATCTATATCCGATTGCAAGCTTTGTTTTTTTCTTTTAATATGAAAAATTTAGTGTTGTACAGATTTTTCAAAATGTATGCATCACTTTTGTACATCTTTGACAGGTATGCAGTCTTCTGCTTTAAAACAGGGGCTCCCAACCTCCATTGGCTTCTGTGAAGCAACCCTCAATGTTGTGCCTTTGGGTACCTGATTTTTTATTTTATTTAAAAATATGCCAGACATTACAGTGCTGCTAAAAAGGCAGCTATAGATCCTGCTCCAGTGTGTCACCCCTTTCCTGTTCTTTAACAAAAGGTATATTTGAATCTTCCTGCACTGAAGAGTTTGATTGCACATTGTTTTAACTGACTGAGTTATTACAAATTGTTTTGCAGATGGTGGTTCTCTTCATGAATAATAAGGCAAGAGTGGTGTTTTGCAAAACATCTTCATTTGTTATATTTTCCTGTGGGTTTGATAATTATTTTCATGTCCAAAACAGCACAGAATGTTCCCTGTTTGATTCATATGTTTTGAGGGGAATACAACCAAATGCAATATTATCCAATATTACAGGGAACAGCTGACAAAGGACTAGCAATGTGAGTTAAAAGTCTTGCTTTCTGTAGCTACAGACTGCCAAGGCTCAGTGAGATTGTGTAACACAGTTTGCCTAAACCTGGAGCCCTCCAGATGTATTAAACTACAACTGCTATCATTTCCCATATAACTTGGCAGGTTGGAGAAGCGTGATGTAGTATTTAGTAATTTTCCCTTCCCGATACATCCATATACAGTCATATCCCATGAAAATAGCGAGTTTGACTCCTGAAAGAGTATTGATTTTTGTTAAGTAGACCATGCTCCATTACATTTGATATTCCATGGCAAGTTTAAGAGTTGAATTTGAATGATGGTACAATCCTATGCATGTTTAGACGGAATAAAGTCTTACAGCTCCTGGCTGGGAGTTATAGAACTTTTTTTCTGTCAAAATATGCATAGGATAGTATCCCAACCAAATTTTAGTGCTCTTCAAAAAAGTGACTCCATGATTGCAATCCAAAATGAATGCTTTCCATTTAATATCGAGGACTTTTGAGCTTAGTATATGGTTAACTCTATTGCTATAAATGAAACTTTAGCTGCAACCTTATACCCACCTACCTTTTGTGAGTAAGCCCCATGGAACTGCATATCAAGGGAGCTTCTCCCAGTAATGGAAGCCATGCCGATGCATGTGATGCCTTCTAATAAACCACACAAGCTTCAGTGAATAGGGATACAACTGCAGAACTTTCTGGATGATGAGTAAGAGAATATATAATTGCAGTGAAGTGTATGATTGCAGTGAAATCATAGTACAAACAGTAAAATTGTCATGCAGCTTTCCACATTCTGAAATGGGGACTGTATAACACTGAGGACCAAAATTGTTCATATTTTTATTATCCAATGAAAACATGTAATGCTTTAATAACAATGATGTCAACTTTGTTTTCAGAGTAAGTTAGTTTCAAGCCCAGCGAAATTAGTATTTCTCTTGTATTTTTGGATAAAACACTGAAAATTGGAGAACTGTCAGCATGATTTTGGCCATCTAGATTTCGGGCTGACAAGAGGAAGCGAAGGAGGCTGGGCAAAAGCTGGAATCAGTGTAATTCCATGACCCCGACTCTTCCCCTTTCAGTCCCTTGCACACTCTCCCCCCCCCCACCCCACAAGGCCCAGTTGTGACCTTGCTGCAGCGGGGGTGGAGGGTGCAGAGCAGGGACACAATCAACAGTTCCTTCCATGGCAGCTGCAAGGGGAACAAAGTGGGCACTTGGCCTTTGGAATCCTGGTTCCGAGATCTCAGGCTCTTCCAGTACAGAGAAGAGCAACAGAAATGATCGAGGGGCTGGAGCAATTCCCCCATGAGGGACGGCTACAATTGAGACTGTTCAGCATTGCATCTCTTTTTAAAATCCCAAGAATTATTTTTCTAATTTTCCATGTATTCATGTAAGCTAGCAAAGACACATTTTGTGCAGATCACCACCCTCCTTTGCCCTCTTTTTTGGTGAAGCATTTCTCTATGTTAGGGTGATTTGGAAGTGGTCACCCCACCTGTGTGTGAGTGTATAAATGCACTTGTCTAGTTTGAGTGAAGGTTTTAGGTTTTCAATGAAACTTCTCTTGAGCTTGCTAAGCAGGGCTGACCTGCGACATTTGACTGCTGGAGAACAGGAGGCTGCCCCCTCCCCCTTCCCTCTGTTGCACAAGAGCAAATTGAATAGGCTGCTGGGTCTTACTTCTGTGCTAGGGATGGGACAGCATCCTCCACTGCACCTGAAGGCAGCCTCAGGGCCTGCAGAGGAGACACGCAGCTCTCTCCTCCAACATTTTGCTGTCACCTCCGAGCATCTGAGCATCCGCCACCTGAAGTGCCAGCCTCGCTCTGCCTAACAGTAGGGCTAGACCTGTTTCTCAAGTGGTAAGGGGAATAGGGAGAAATAACGTTTTCTTGGAGTATAATTAGAAGCCCAACAGTGTTGCTTTCTATTACACAAATGCTAGAAACACCAGTGATTCAGCTGTACATTACTTGACTTCTCTTTGATGTTTGTTCTTTTTTTTTTCTGGCAGGTATTTCTGGTGAGAAAAATCAAAGGATCTGATGCTGGGCAGCTCTATGCCATGAAGGTGCTTAAGAAAGCAACACTGAAAGGTGAGAAGAAAAACTGAGCTCAAAGCAATTGTGCATTGCAGCCTGTTATTAATAGGCAAATATTTTATTTTATTTGAAGCTGTCATGAATGTTCCTATGGCATAAAGCAAGACATTATTCTATATATTATACTGTAGGTTTGGATCACATGTTTCTTTGAATCATAAAAGGGAGCTATGAATAAAAAGTAGCTTTTGTCTCAGATATGAACAAGGGAATGGAAATTCAAACACTTACCAGGTATTTTAAAAATCTTCCCATTTCTCTCCCTTTATCAACTTCATTTGTAGTTTAAATTGATTGTGGGATTTACACTGAAGTGGGCAAATAGTGCTGATGCATGTTATGACTCCTACTTGTATGTTAGTTGGTGTGTGTTTCTTCTTTCCAGCTGAGGGTTTGATTTTGTTTATTTCCCTCAGTCCCCTTATCCTGCACAGAGGAATTAACTTATAATCAGGATAAGAAGGCCTCAGATTGTACCTCAAATTGGCATTTTTTAATTTGGTCTTAAAGGACAGAAGAACTGGACATAATCCTTACCATGCAAGTGCAGAATGAAAAAAGTGGTCCATTTATGTCACAGCATGAATATGAAGTTATGGAAGCTTATGATGTGAAATCATCCTGTCGTCCTGCTCCATTTTATTGGTTGCTGCTGGGGGACGGGGGAGTGAGGAAACAATGATACGATGATGTCATGTCATTTGCTTCCATAACTAGACGTGACAGCGAACAAGGGACGAACTCAAAAAGATGGTTCTGCTCCAAGTATCAAACTACACATTATATTAAATGCACGCTTACTTATAAGTTCCTGCATTTTCTTTCATTTGTATGATTGTTGTGTTTTGCCCATGCGTGTTCACTGAAATTGTGAGAGATGAGAATATTGACATAAGCAGAGATGGGACACCTTTGGCTGAACCGAGCTGACCTACCTTGAGCACAGGGTCCCAGATTAGTTCATTCCTGGAATCCTCACCTCCTGCAGGATAGTAGGGAGAGGGTGCCCCACTGTTATCTGCCTGATAGTAACTGGAGATTACAGGAGGTATTTCCCTCTGCACTTCTCCCTATTAGGATTGGGAAGGAACTGGCATTACAAGGGGAGTCACCGTTCAGAGATAGCATTGGAGATTTCCCCTGCTTGGTACACTAGCAGTTGGGAGAATGATTGTGCACTATGAGTTTTGCTCAGACAGCATCCTTCCCAGTGGCGGGGAAAGGTTTGGGGCAGACAAAGAAAGCACAGCCAGGATACAAGGTAAAAGAGTGGACCTTCACCCACCATCTCATTTGGGAAAAGCTAGTTCCTCTACTATGTAACATTGGAGGAGGCATGGCCACCTTCATCCAGCCCTTTCATTGCTTCTGCCATACCCATAGACAGACTTGGGGTGATGAACTTGATGTTAGCTTTCAGAGAAGACCAAGAAGAGTTGCTGATCTCAATTTTAAATATGCATTCCAACATTCATAAGGTGGAATTCAGTTTTCACATGAACTGACCCCAATGGGTAGGTTCCACAGTGGGATGATGCAAACCCCTTCCCTTTGAGTACAGAACAGCATAGATTTCCATCCTGCATGGGCAGCGTGCAGGGGGAAAAAGAGGAGCATGGCTAGTGTAGAGTAAGGCTCCATAAGAGATTTTCTGCACAGAAACTTGTACATGTGTGATCTTTCACTCAGGTAAGTTCATGAGCCTTTTACACAATGCTGTCATCCTCCAATGGCCTCTTTTTCAGTCATTTTTGCTGCTTTTTAAAGAGTGAGGTTAAGGCATTATTTTTCTGCCAGAAGCCACGTGCAAAGTCTAAATTGTGTTCAATACTACTGTCCCATCTCTTTTTGTGTAATGGAACATACAGAGACTATACACAGGCAGAGAAGAAAACTGCCAGAAAAAATATCCTCATGTTAAGGACAGTGGAAGAAGCAACCTCGGTAAAGCTTTGGGTACATACCTCATGTCGAGAACCCCTTGCCAGGACGGCAGCATTGCTTCCATAATGCTCAGCTTCACTGTCCGTCTTGGGAATATAGACGATGGCCAATGGAGGGATGAGGAATGCTGCCTGGGATGTGGGCAGAGCCTTAAGGGATGATGGGGAGGGGAACAGGGGAACCTGGGTGAAATGCTTTCTTCAGTAAGGGTGTGAGCCCCCTCTGTTGTAGAGAGGGGGGCCACTACTTGCACATTACAGGCTGTTGAGATTTTTCTGGTTCTGAGGAAAGGGCAGAAGGGCAGATGGTTTTAAGGTTACCTAGTGAAAATTCTCAGGCAGAGTGTGAGAACCAGCCTTCCTCCAAAAAGGCAAGAAACATTTCAAGCTCTTTACACGGGCAGATGCTTCTCCTACATCTTGAGGAGACCACTGCTTTGATTTATACTGTTCTGTAACCTGCTAGGTTTTGTTAAAAGGAATGTGCTTCTAAAGTTTGGTTTGAGTCTGCTGGAGAGGGAGGGAGGGACCTACCTACTCACAACACATGGACACGTTTAGACAGAAAGACTTTAAACTCCTAGCTGGTTGGGGAATGCTAGGAGTTGTAGGACTTGCTTCTCTCTAAACATGCATTTGATTCTGCATTAAGCTTCTGTATGTTTGATTAACTGAGCAGGTTTACAGGTCATGCCCAGGATCCTGTGGGTAGGTGACATGGGAATTGGGGTTGTTCCTCCTTTAAGAAGTTGATTCTGTGTTGGTTTCCTTTTGTCTTCCAAACTTAAATTACTGAGAAGCTGGAAAATGCAACTTTTGCTGCAAGGTCATGTCTTAATTGATTAAAACATATCTCAGATGTTTTTCTGGTTTGGTATGCTCCTGGGGGTTTAGAAAACAGTACACCTTGAGCTACTCTCAGTATTACTGTCAGTCTGCAGCATATTAATCATGATCGAGCCACAGTGTGTGCAAAAACACAAGACAAATGTGGCTCTTCACAGGCAGAGGGCAGCTAAATCTTTGCACTAAGTAAAGCAAGGCAATGGCTTTTACTGACATTTTGGTTGCTCCTATTTACAGTTTATTTAAATTTTATTTTTATGGATTTTAGTTTTTCAGTTGGACTATTATCCTTTCTGTATAAAAGGTAAAGCAGGGTTGTCCAATCTCTTTCAGTACAAGGACAGAATTAAGTTTCTGAGAAACTTTTGGAGGGTATGTTCCAGTGATGCGTGTGGCCAAAGGGGTAGAGCTAAAATGCCAGCATATTTTTGGTTAAAACTTTTTCAATTGAGGAACAAGCAAATGATCAGGAAATGGGAGGGGAGGGAAATGGGCCTTTTTGGAGAATCTCAGAGGGCCATATCTGGCCCCTCAGTGGGCCTGAACTGAGCTCCCCTGTGGCAAAGGAACACTGATCAGTTGCCTCCACCTGTAAGACCTTTATCTTAGATAGTTTTTGTATGGACAGATATTCTATTTTAAAAGGAGCTATATTTAGATGCTTCCCCATTCCATTACCACCATCCTACCCAGTACAAATGTTCTGTTTTTATTTATTTATTTATTTATTTATTTATTTATTTATTTATTTATTTAGAAAATTTCTAGGCCGCCCCATTCGCCGAAGCCTCGGGGCGGCTTACAAATAAATTAATTAAAATACATAAATAACAATATAAAATACACATAACTGTATAAAATAAGTTGCCCAACTGAGCTAGATTATCTGCCCTTGGTTTCAATGTAGGAAATGGACCTCAGTCATACGAACTGTTTTGGTTATATTGCGCTTTCTGTCTTTCGTGACTTTTTGTAAGCCACTTTGACTTTATTCTATAAAGAAAAGCAGTGTATAAATGTGTAAGCACACCCTTGTCAACATGAGTCACTGCAGATCAGAAAGCTGTGCACGCAGCATCAGGTTTGGCAGTCAGCCAAGCAGTTCTCTTTCTCCACCTGGAACCTTTTCTGCAGTCACGTAATTGTCTCTCAGAAGCTGCAGTCTTATACACAGTTGCCTGAATGTTCGTCCCATTGAACTCAGTGGGGTTTACTTTTGAGTAGACATGCATTAGTATTGTACTGTAAAACCTTTAAAAATATTGCATTCCAGTCTATCCCTGTTCCTTTTCTTTTAAGCTGAGATCATGAATGGTACAAAACCATCCATCTTGGTTTTCTTCTTGTTACACCTTGAAATAATCAAGCATCTTGTATGACTTATTTTCTTCATTTATACCAATTGTTAAAAGTACCATCCTTTTAGCAAAGTGCTTGCTTTCTAAATTAGAATGCTTATAATAGTAGGCACAAAAGCTAATAGGTATGCACTTTTCTTTTCTTTTGGGGGGGGGCGGGGTCCAAAAAACACTGGCAAATTGACCAAGAATTCTCCACATTCTGTAAACCAGCTGTAAATTGCAGTCTGAGTTGTTTTGGGGTACCACATTACAGACTTGCTACAAAAAAGGAAGAACAAGACTTCTTTTCTTTAACCAGTGTATGGACCATTGCATGATTCTTTCACCATTGTTGTCTTCACTGCCTGAAGATACAGTTGTGCCATGTATTAATAATGGCCAACAGCATAGCCAAAGAATCCAAAGTACTAACTCGGATGAGGGTGGGTGGGATGGGAATTGAATAGCACAGGAAGATAGTGCTGCTCTGTCTGCCATAGATACCCATAACTTCATCTGAGTAACACAGATAATATTGTTTGCCCTCACAGAAAATAAAATGCTGTTGTGTTTTCTATTTTATTCTGCTTAATAGCTGAGGTTCAAAGAGAGGTCACTGAGTCAATTCACTTGTTTTTTTATCTTTTCTCACCACAGAGCATGTGAACCAGTGAATAATTTCCTAGTTGGTAAATATGTATGAATCATTTTCCCCATTGTAATAATGAAGTTTATTTATAGTATTAGTGAGGTGAGTTTGGTATGCAAGTGCATGGAAATGTATTTCTGTTGTATGTGTAAATCTAAACCATCCCGAGACATCTGTGATGGGACGGTATAGAAAATTTTAAGTAAGTAAGTAAAT